CCTGTATGTCTTTTTTTGAGAAGTGTTATTCATATCTTTTGTCCACTTTTTAATGGAGCTTTTTGCTGTTGAATTAACTTTCTTATGGATTCTGAATATTAGACTTTTTCAGATACATATTTTCTCCCAGTCTGCAGGTTGTATTTACCCTGTTGATAGTTTCTTTTTCTGCACAAAAAGTCTTCCACTTAATTTGGTCCCATATATCAATTTTTGATTTTTTGCAATTGCTTTGGAGTACTTAGTCATAAATTCTTTTCCAAGGCTGATGTCTAAAATGGTGGTTCCTAGGTTATCTTCTAAGATTTTTATAGTTTGAGGTCTTACGTTTAAATCTTTAATCCATCTGGAGTTAATTTTGGTGTATAGTGAAACATAAGAGTTCAGTTTTATTCTTCTGCATGTAGTTAGGCAGCTATCCTAACATCATTTATTAAACAGAAAACCTTTTCCTCATTGCTTATTAGTGTCAGTGTTGTCAAAGATGAGATGACTGTAGGTGTGCGGCTTTATTTCTGGGGTCTCTATTCTGTTCTATTGGTCTATGTGTCTATTTTTGTACCAGTACCATGCTGTTTTGGTTACTGTAGCCTTATAGTACAGTTTGGAGTTGGGTAATATAATGCCTCAGCTTTGTTCTTTTTATGCAGGATTGCTTTGGCCATTCAGATTCTTTTTTGGTTATATATGAATTTTAGAATAGTTTTGCAGTGAAATGGGTAGTTTGATAGGAATAGTGTTGAATCTGTATATTGCTTTGGGCAGTATAGTCATTTTAACAGTATTGATTCTTCAAGTGAATTAGCATGGAATGTTTTTCCATTTGTTTGTGTCATTTATGATTTCCTCTGGTAGTATTTTGCAGTTCTCCTTGTAGAGATCTTTCACCTCCTTGGCTAGATGTATTATTCTTTTTGTGGCTATTGTAAATGGCATTCCTTTCTTGATTTGGCTCTCAGTTTAAATGTTATTGTTGTATAGAAATGCTATTGATTTTTGTGCATTGATTTTGTATCCTGAAACTTACTGAAGACATTTATCAGTCTTCCAGTTACAAAATCAAATGATTAGAGAAGAAAGATAGTTTGAGTTCTTCTTTTCCTATTTGGATGTATTTTATTTCTTTCTCTTGCCTGATTGTTTTGGCTATGATTTCCAGTACTATCTTGAAAAGGAGTGGTGAGAGTGGGAATCTTTGTCTTGTTCCAGTTCTCAAGGGGAATGATTCTAGCTTTTGCCTATTCAGTATGATATTGACTATGGACTTGTCATAGATGATTCTTAATATTTTGAAGTATGTCCCTTCAATGCCTAGTTTCTTTGTTAATAATTTTTGTCATGAAGAAATGTTGGATTTTATCAAAAGCCTTTTCTGTGTCTGTTGAGATGATCATACGCTTTTTTTATTTTAATTCAGTTTTTGTGGTGAGTCACATTTACTGATTTGTGTCTGTTGAACCAACATTGCATCCCAGGAATGAAGCCTACTTGGTCATGGTGAATTAGCTTTTTAATATGCTGCTGGATTCACTTTCCTAGTATTTTGTTGAGAATTTTTGCATCTATGTTCATCAGGGATATTGGCCTGATGTTTTCATTTTTGTTGTGTCTGTGCCAGATATTGGTATCAGGATGATGCTGACTTCACAGAATGAGTGAGAGAGGAGTCCTTGCTTTTTGAATTTTTGGAATAGTTTTAGTAGGTTGATACCAGCTATTCTTTGTATATCTGTTAGAATTCCACTGTGAATCTTTCTGGTCCAGGGCTTTTCTTGGTAGGATTTTTACTCCCAATTCAATTTCATTACTCATTATTTGTCTGCTTAGGATTTCTGTTTTTTCCTGGTTCAATCTTGGGAGGTGGTGTGTCTCCAGAAATTGATCCATTTCCTCTAGACTTTTCATGTTTCTGTGCAGAAAGTTATTAATAATAGTCTCTGAGGATCTTTTGTATTTCTGTAGGATTATTTGTGATATCACCTTTGTCATTTCTCATTGTGTTTATTTGGATCTTCTCTCTTTTTTTCTTTGTTAATCTAGTTAGCGTCTATCAATCTTGTTTATCCTTTCAAAAAACAAACTGTTGGTTTTATTCATTCTCTTTTTTCAGTGGTCAAGGTTTATTGGGAATTTTAATTGGTATGACACTTGGATAGTTGGTTGCATTGTTTATATGTAGATCTTTTCACATTATATGGTAATGTACACTACTGATATATATAGAGATCACAAAATAAGATCCTTTGGAACAATGATGTACAAGACATGCGATATTGGATTTATGCACTGGATCCCAGGATGTGACTGATTGGGAAAGAATGTTGAACTAGGAATGTCCCGTGAAGGAGCCAGAAAGTTATATACACACAGTAAACATCCATCTGGCTCAAGGGGCAACTGCAGCATGTGCAGCATTGGTAGAGCTGCCTCAGAGTTGGTAAAAGTATTTCACACTGACCAGTTTAGGACTACACAAGATTAATATCATCTAGCATCAGGATATAGCTATAGGATTTTACAAACCATTCCTATGTCCAACTTCAGGAATTGATGTTTTTCCCAGTGCATTTTAAAATATTGCTGCTTTGATCACAGAACAGATAAAAAGGACAACATGCACAACCTCCAACTAAAATCCTACTGTAGCCTAGACAGTGAAATGATATGACATCGGAAGACTTTAAAATTGCAAGTCTTTTTAGAGTCCCCAAAGTGTAACTGCACTCTTCTTCAAACAGGCCTCTTCCTCAGGAGTCAGAGTCACCTTCACACAAGGTCGGAGATTCCATTCTGTCCCAAAATGCAAGGAACACTAAGGAAGACATTATCCTTTATTCCATAGAGACCCTTAATCGTGGTGGAAATTAGGTGCACCCACCTAAGATTCTTCATTATACTCTCTGCCAAATCTGCCACAGAGGGTCCAATGCCCCAGCCTTTGAGTTTGATCACCTCATAAGCACTCTCAGCCACCTACTTGTGAGCCTCTTTCCACTGTTACTTATCTGTATCAGTCCCCAAATCTGGGTGTAGAGTCTTCAAGGAGGCACCAGCAACATTCACTCCACTCCATACAGGCACACTGGAATCTCCATGTTCCCCAAGGACCTACCCTTGACAGCTTAATGAGTGAACTCCCAGCCTTTTCCCCATCAGGTAACGGAATTGGGCTGAATCCAGATTGCAACCACTTTCAATAACACGGTTTTGGGGAAAGCCACTTATCTTCCAAGCCACATGGGTCAAGATATCCACTGGATTTGAAACAATAAGTAAATTGCAGTTCAGCCTGTATTTTACAACATTAGGAATGATGAATTTAAAGATGTTCATGTTATGCTGGACCAAATTAAGACAGCTTTCTCCCTCTTGCTGATGTGCCCAAGCAGTGAAAATGACCAGCTTGGAGTTTGCAGTTACATTAGTCTTTGCCAGAGACAATCTTTGGTGTTCTAAGGAAAAGGCTGCCATGTTGGAGATCCATCATCTCTCCCTTCAATTTATCTTCCATGACATCAACAAAGCAAGTTCATCTACTGAGTCCTTTGTGGACTTGTTGGCATGGCACAGGCCATGCCAACAGCACCAATCTCAGCAACTATAATCTTATTCTCGGGGGGTCTCTTCTTCCTCTAGAAGATTATGAATCAGCTGATCCTTGAGAGTTGTCATATTGAACTTGGAACCAAAAGGAATCGGGAATGCACATCCAGCAGGTGTCAGGGGCGCATGATAATGAGATCCGGACTCGGCGGCAGTGGCTCCAGCACCTGGCTTTGTTAATTCTTTGCATGGATTTTGGGGTCCCAATTTCATTTAGTTCTGCTCTGATTTTAGTTATTCCTTTTCTTCTGCTAACTTCAGGATTTGTTTGTTCTTGTTCTAGTTCCTCTAATTGCAATATTAGATCATGAATCTAATTCTTAATGTAGGAATTTAGCACTATAAACTTTTTTTTTTTTTTTTTGAGACAGGATCTCAGTCTGTTGCCCAGGCTGTACTGTGATGGAGTGATCATGGCTCATTGCAGCCTCAACCTCCCCAGAGTCAGGTGATCCTCCCTCCTCTACCTCCCAAGGAGCTGGGACTACAGGCACACATCACCATGCCTGGCTAATTTCTGTATTTTTTTGTAGAGACAGGGTTTTGCCAGGTTGCCCAGGATCATCTCAAACTGAGTTCAAGTGCCCTCCTCCTCAGCCTCCGAAAGTGCTGGGATTACAGGCACTGCATCCAGACATACTGTAAACTTTTAACGCTGCTTTTACTGCATCCCAGATATTTCAGTATGTTGTGTCTCTCTTTTCATTTGTTTCAAAGAAGTGTTTTATTTCTGTCTTAATATGTTGTTTACCCAAAAGTCACTCAGAAGAAAGTTGTTTAGTTTCCATGTAATTGTGTCGTTTTCAGAGATCTTGGTATTGATTTCTATTTTAATTCCACTGTTGTCTGAGAGTATGCTTGGTATGATTTTGATCTTTTTGAATCTATCAAATCTATTATGGTTAAGCATGTGGTTGATCTTAGACTACGTTCCATATACAGATGAGAAAAATGTATATTCTGTGGTTGATGGGTGGAGTATTCTGTAGATAGCTCTTAGATCCAATAGATTAAGTGTCTAATTTATGTCTAGAATTTTTTTGTTAGTTTTCTGCCTCAATGATCTGTCTAACACTGTCAGTGGGATGCTGAAGTACCCCCACTATTATAATGTAGCTTTCCAAGTATTTTTGTAGGTCTTGAAGTAGTTGTTTTATGAATCTGTGTATTCCAATGTTGGGTGCATCTATATTTAGGATAGTTAAGTCTTTTTGTTGAGTTCAACCCATTACCATTATGTAATGCCCTTCTTTGTCCTTTTTCACTGTTGTCAATTTAGTCTTATTTCTGCAATATAAGAATAGTCACCTCCTCTTCTCTTGTTTTCCTTTTGCATGATAGATCTTTCTCCACCCCTTTATTTTGAGCCTGTTGGTTTTGTTACATGAGAAATGGATCTCTTGAAGATAGAAGATGGTTGGGTCTTATTTTTTTATCCAACTTGCTACTCTGTGCCTCTTAAATGGGGTGTTTAGACCACTTATATCCAAGGTTAATATTGATATGTAAGGTTTTGATCCTGTTGTGATATTTTTAGCTGGTTGCTTTGTAGTCTTGATTGTGTAGTTGCTTTATAGAGTCTGTGGGCTCTGGACTTAAGTGTGTCTTTGTGGTAGCAGGTATCACTCCTTCATTTCCGTGTTTAGAGCTCTTTTGTGAATCTTTTGTAATGCTGGTCTAGTGGTAAAGAATTGCCTTAGCAATTGCCTATCTGGAAAAGTTTTTATTTCTCCTTTGCTTATGAAGCTCAGTCTGACAGGATATGAAATTGTTGGTTGCAATTTCTTTTCTTTAAGAATGCTGAATATAGTTATGTTATCTCTTCTGACTTGTAATGTTTTTGCTGAGAAGTCTGCTGTTAGCCTTATGGGATGACCTTTGTAAGTGATCTGACCTTTTCCTCTAGCTGCCTTTAAGAATTTTTTTTTCACATTGATCATGGAAAGTTTGATAACTATGTGTCTTGGGGATGGTCTTCTTATATAGCATCTCCTAGGGTTTCTCTGAATTTCCTGAAATTGCATGTCAACCTCTCCAGCAATATTGGGGAAACTTTCAAGGACTATATTCTCAAATATGTTACCCAAGTTGTTTACCTTTTCTTCTCTCTCAGGAATGCCAGTATGGCATAGGTTTTATCTATTTGCATAATCTCATATTTCTCATAGGCTTTGTCCATTTTTTAAATTCTTTCTTCTTTATTTTTGCCTAACAGGGTTGTTTTGAGGTACCAGTCTTTGAGCTCTGAAATTCTTTTTTTGACTTGGCCTAGTATGTTGTTAATGCTTCCAATTGTATTTTGAAATTCCTGTAGTCATTTTTCAATTCCAGGAGTTCAGTTTTGTTTTTTCTTCATATAGCTGTGTCATCTTGCAACTCTTGGATCATTTTACTGGCTTCTTTGGACTGGATTTCAACTTTCTCTTGGATCTCATTGAGCTTCCTTGCCATCCAGATTCTGAATTCTGTATCTGTCATTTCAGATGTTTCAATCTGGTAGGATCCATTGCAATCATTTAGAGCTAAGGAAACTGATTTTTTGAATTGCCAGAGTTCTTGTGCTGATTCCTAATTACCCAAGAGGGCTAGTATTTATCATTTTCAAGTTTCTGTCATTTCATTGAGGCTTTTTATTTTTGTATTCCTGTTTTCCTTTGAGGGTTTGACTGTGGTGTATGTTGTGTATAGTTCATTGGCTTTGCTTCTGGGTGCTTTCAGAGGGCCAACGCTTTGCACAGGTTTCTTAGTTGTAGCTAGTTTCCCACATTGGCTTTCACAGATGCTGTGTGATTAATCGATGGCATTAGAATTCAAAATTGTTTTTGCCTTTTGGGATAAGGAGAGGTACTGTTTTTTGACCTGGGTGGTGGTACATGTGCACATTTGCTTTGTGAGAATTCATTGAGCCATACACTAATAATATGTATTTTTCTGTATATATGTTAGACTCTAATTTTTTAAGTGTTTAAAAACTGATCTATAGTGTTGTTAGAAGTTAGGATAATGATTACCTGTGGGAAGAAGGAAGGGGAAATCATTGAGGCGGAGAAAGGCATAAGAGAAATGTCTCTGGTATATCAGCACAGTTCTCTTCTCAACCACAGGTATTGATTTGTGATCATTTGTAGAGCTGTATATTTGGTTTTTGCACTTTTCTATGTGGGTCATGGTAAAAATATTTTTAAAAACAAGAAATAAGGAAAACATATTTGTACTGCTATTGGAATGAGGATTCAAAATGTATATATATATATCCTAAGCAAGAGTCTACTGTATTTACATTTCTTGATATTGATTTTGCTTTAAAATAGCATAAGATGATATTTTGTTGTTGCTGTTTAATTCAGGGTGCAGTCAATTTCACTGGGGCAAGGACAGGGACCTATTGCTGAAAAAATGATCAAAGATGCAATGAAATCAGGAAACTGGGTATTTTTGCAAAACTGCCATCTTGCTGTTTCTTGGATGTTGGCAATGGAAGAGCTCATTAAAACCTTCACAGATCCAGGTATGTTGAGCACATAGCCCCTGCATAATAATAACATTTTGATGTAACCTTTTCTTGTTGAATTCATTCCTTATAGTAATTCATTATTGTAGGCACTATGTTTCCCTATATTAAAGAGGAGAAATTTGAGACCTAGACAGATTTCGCTAATTTACACAACCAGGGTTTGATAAAAGGCCTTCAGAACTACAAGTTGAGGCTAGGATCCACTGGATCATTTCTGTTTCTTATTGCCTTCTATGAGAGGTCATTTGAATTTGAAATATATTACTTATAGGCATATTAAAAAGAAAAATATACTTAGGACAAACAAAAGAAATTAAATCTTTCCCTATATAACAAGAAATGTCAAGGAACAGAGTTCAAATTACCACCAATTCCCTTGGAGTAGTTTTTTACCACCTTTTATCCTCTGTAACCCACATGACAACTAACCTTTACATGTGCCTCAGAGCCACACCCACTCCATGGGCATGCCCAGCATTACTCATAGTTGCTGGCACTAGCTATTATCTCACTACTTTCTTGCCTACTCAAGAAAGTGTAATGGGCTGCAAAGAGAGGAAGTGGAATTAGAATCTACTCATTTTAAAGTGTTAGTATAAAAATAACCAAAACCTCAGGAACTATTTTATTGGTAGCAAATTGTGTGGATCCCATTCTACCACTCTGCTGTGAAGGCCTGGGGTAGAACTTCCAGGCAAGCATATCCAGAGAGAGCCCTTTCTCTGAGGCCTTTCTTTGTGCCCTCACTACAGAAAGCTTTCTGGAAAGGTAAGAGCTATGCCGATGATCTTGCAAATCACTTTATTTAGTGCTACTTATTAAGGTGAAGAGCTGCTCCTTTCCAGAGTCCCCAGTCTGCACTGTTCACTGAGCCAGCTCAGGGTTTAGCAGCCTTCCCCTAAAGGCCCTTCACTTCCTGGCCCCCTGCCCTCACCCCCAAGCCTTCTGCAGGTTGCTTCTGACAAAGGTAAGGACTCATTTTTATCCACCATTCATAATCTCCACTATTTCCATTCCTTTGCAGTCAAATAAGAGATGGCCTGCTTCCTGCTGGGCCTGTGGCTTACTTCTATTTCAATAATTGAAGAGAAATGACAAGGAGGTCTTCAGTACTGGTCAGAGGTCCCCAGTGATTAGGAATATAATTAAGAAAGAAATGTTAGAGAGGCATCAAAAAAGCAATTTGCTGTGGCAGTACTACATGAGCCTCCAGAATATGGAGATGCCGTTCAGCTTCACTATAACTAGGACAAGAGCATTTCCAGTTCTTCAAGGACACTGGATGGGCTAATGAAGCCAGCTGAAGTTGTTTGTGTATTTTAAGTGCTTACTAAACTTAAGTGGATAGAAAAGTCCTATTCTAGCCCTTGCTATAATCATTTATAACCTAACCATTTAAGTTCTGATGGTGGTCATTTTCATGCCACTTGTGTTAAATTGAATGGTCAAAAAATCCTCATGAGAATAAATATGTGGGCAATAACTGCCCTCTTTTTCAACTGAAAATGTTTCCCATTTCAAAGATAAGACCCTTAATAGTTCAGCAACTATTAAAAATTAACATGTTCCTAATGTATTTACCCAAATGTGCCTGCTTCTTGACTGCCAAACCCTCCTAACATGAAGTTTCTAAAACAATGCATCTTACTCCCATTTTAAAACAGTTTACAATATACTTGTAATAGATTAACTAGGTCTTTAAACAAAGCCTATAGCATTTTTTCCTTCTATAGAATGATTGTTTCTTATAGAAAAATGCTACTACCAACTAAACATTTTCCTTTTTTGTTGTTTTGTCTTTGTTTTAAACAGATAGTGCTATCAAGGACACTTTTCGACTTTTTTTAAGCTCCATGCCTAGTAATACATTTCCTGTTACAGTTCTTCAAAATTCTGTCAAGGTAATGTATGCATATGGTTGGAACAATGTGAAATGGTTGGTTTCAGAATATTCATCTAGTGCCTCCAAGGATATCAGAGCCCGCACAGAAGCATGTGGGGGTCTGCGTGGCCAGGATGGGGAGGTGAAGTCAGTATCTTTTCATCTTTAACAAGCAGGGAAATGATTGCCCAACCCTGTCCTTGCATATTCTAGTCCTATTGGTATTCAGCTCTTCCAGCTCTCACCCTCACAAGAAAATGTTAAGGGTACAGAGTGATGAGAAGAGAACCCCTTCCAGAGTTAAGGGAATGTTTCAGCATTTGAGAAACAGGAAAGCCTACAAGCCATACTAGTATGGCTGTTGGATTTTAATGCTGGAAGTTTATGATCTATGGCAAGCCTCTACATATGAGGAACAAGAGGTGCTTCTTCCCTCCCTGTCCCATGTCATGGGACATCAGAGGACAAACTATGGGACAATGCCGTACGTCAGGGTGATGCAAAATTCAATGAGGAAAGCTTGAGCATGCTTTCTGGCCTGTATTTAGAAAAAATGGACACTAAGTGGAAGTGTCTGAGGTTCTTGTTGAACATGTGGTTCAACCACTGTAGGTCTGAGAACCCTGCCATTCCATGTTCTCCCTGGACTGTGCCTGAGCAAGATACAAAGCAGGCTCGAACATGCCAGGAATGGTCCCTACCTCCCCATGAACATCAGCTATCTACATCATCTCAATGGCTTTCTGTCTATGTGTGTTATTAAGAAATAACGCAAATCTATAAAATCACTCTCTCTGCCATGTATATTTCATCTAAATCCAGGTGACCAATGAGCCTCCAAAAGGCTTACGTGCAAATATCAGACGAGCATTTACTGAAATGACACCTTCGTTTTTTGAAGAAAATATACTTGGAAAAAAATGGAGGCAAATAATATTTGGCATTTGTTTCTTCCATGCGATTATTCAGGTACACTTATCAACTCTGCTTTTTAATAGCAACAAGGAAGTGTATTGTGAAATAAATAGCAATAATTAAGTGAAAGCTTGTAAATGTCATTGTGAAATGCTGAAGACTCCATTCTGTGTCTGAACCCAAGTTGTTTTCATTCAACTCTCAATCTCTATACTCCCCTTGCCTCCGTGTTTCACAGATTCAGCTCTCACCTCTCGTCTGATCTGCCTACAAAATATCATCAGTTGGATGAATGGAGTAGGTTCAATTCAGTTCAACAAGTACAAAATAGATTTCCTCATAGGTGGCATATTTATTATATTAGTTTTCCGGTTTTCAAATGTGTGTGGTCTACAGAAAATAAATAAATAAATAAATAAATAAATAAATAAATAAATAATCAGACTGGGCACAGTGGCTCATCCTTATAATCCCAACATTTTGGGAGGCCAACGTGCGCAGATCACTTGAGCCTGGGAGTTCAAGACCAGTCTGGGCAACACAGCGAAAGCCCATCTCTACGAAAAAAAAATTTTTAAATAGCCAGGCATGGTGGCGCATACCTGTAGTCCCAGCTACTTGGGTGCTGAGGTGAGAAGATTGCTTGAGCCTGGTAGGTCAAGGGTGAATGAGCAATGATCGTGCCACTGCACTCCCGCCTGGGTGACAGAAAAAGACTCTGTCTCAAAAAAAAAAAGAAAAGAAAATATGCCAGATATAAGATAAATAGGTTAAAAGGTATTAGAGGAGGTCTGACGGGTTGGGATCAGGGGAGGGGTTCTGGGTGTGAGGCCTTTGTTCCGCTAACAAAAGCACCTGAGATGCGGAGGTAGTTTAAGCTTTAGGAAAATTTTGAGATCAAGAGCAGGGAACTTGGAACCAAACCTCTGGCATAATTATCAGTTTCAAATTTAAGAAATTAAGGTAGGATAGGGAAATAACAAAGGAGATTGGGGGAGGATTTCACGGTGGTATGCCATGAAACAAAAATATGGTTCTATGTGTGGCATAACTGAAAAATCATGGACAGACTCCTTAAAACAGCAGGGAGTAGTTCTTTCCACCAGATGGATGATTACAGGGTCAATATTTTTATGCCAAAAGACTACAGGTGAAATTTTTTTTTCCTACTGTGATGAAAAAATGCTTTATTTTACCCTGAAGGAAAAATATTCTTTTGACAGGTCCATCAAATTTCTAGTAATAGCAAATTTTCTTTTGGATATATGGGGAGGAGCCAGTATTGAAGGAAGAGGTGCTTCCTCTGTTTGGTGAAAGCCTAGCTGAAGTTGAGCCACATGATTTTACTGATTTTGCAGTGTGGGGATGCCCAATTTCAATGGAAACTTCTTTTTAGTTTTCAATATATTACACAGAATTTATTTTATCAAATTTTGTTTCAGACCATTTTCATTTTTCATTCTAGGAGAGAAAGAAGTTTGGTCCTCTTGGTTGGAATATCTGCTATGAATTTAATGACAGTGACAGGGAATGTGCTTTACTGAACCTCAACCTCTATTGTAAAGAAGGAAAGATTCCCTGGGATGCACTGATTTATATTACTGGTGAGTACGTCCTTGTGGCCAGGGCTTCCATCTATGTACCACAAAATTTTTGGTTTACTCCCACCTGGCCCTTACAAAGATGGTGTCCTCCCCCAGTGTTTAATAGTAGTGATGATGATTTTTGATGTTCCTTATGTGAAGACAAGATTGTGAGAAGAACACATCAAGACATCATGAGAATATTCACACATAGAAAATGGGACAGCTGCTTTCTCAAATAATAATAATAGGAAAAACAGTGCTTGCTACATGCCAAGCACCCTTTTAAGCACTTCCCAAGAATTAGCAGATTTAATCTTCATAACAACCTTACAATGTGAGCACTATTATTATTACCATTCTACACATAAGAAAACTGAGGCACACCATTTACAAAGTGCTGGGGCCGAGATTTGAACCCAGACAGTGTAACCTCCAGAATCCACGATCTTAAATTCAAAAGAACCTAAACATTATTTGACTAGTAGAGACCTGTTAATTCAGATATACCTGTGAAAAAGAAAAAATCTTTCAGGAATTAAATTTTTGGTAAATATTAACTGTGACTACATAGGGATCTTGTTGCCAAAATTAGAACCAATTTGGACCATGTGGGCTCAAGTAGTAAGGGAGAGGATATTTGCACTGGGAAGTGGCAGAAGGAGGAGCTCTGAAAAGGGACAGAAAGGAAATGGATGATTTTCATTGGCAAGTCAGGGAAATGCAAAACAGCAGAAGGGTATCAGGTGATCTACAGCCTAAAAGGCAAAATGAAACCTTAAAACATGTTTGAGATGAAGGCAGCAAGATAACAGTAAAAATAGTTTAGGACCAGTCCCCAGAGTGAACCAATAGGGAAAGCCGTGTAATTTGGGAGGCTACTTTGTACTCCTGCCCCAAGCCATCCCAATGGGGCCAAAATTGTTTAGCAAAGTGGTGATGTAGGCAAAATTGTTCTCTGATATCCTCTGCTTACCCTGAATTTTCCTGTCTCTCATTTTCCTTTTCCTTCTCCCTCTCCTAGAATCCTTGATGTTTCAGGTTACCTCAGTCTCTACTGCTGTGGAAGTAATTGTGGAGGTAAAAAGTAATTTGCCAGACTGATCTATAGATTTAATGCAATCCCTATGTAACAGCAGACTATTACACCCAGATCCACTGGCATGATGCAGGAATTGATAAGCTGATTATAAATTCATATGAAATTCATATGAAAATGTGAAGGGCCTCAAATGGCAAGAACAATCACGGAAAGAAGAATAAAGTCAAAAGAGTAACATTTCCCAATTTCAAAACTTACTACAAAGTTACAACAAGTCATTGTGGCACTGGCATAAGAATAGACATAGATTTTGACTTGGCAGTGGTGACCATAGTTCTAACACATTTTTTGTTTCTGGCATGAAGGGAGCAGAGCCTTTATCAGGTCGATTTCTTTTTATGTGGCATCCATCCACTGTTCCCTCCAGCACCTAGTCTTAGTCCAAAGAGTCTCAGAGCTGTCAAAAAGTTGTTCTGAAGAAAACAGGACATCTCAGCAACAAATATCCCAAAGTATTGCTGTAAATGAGACTGATTTTATGGGAAAATTAAGAAAGGTGTTCCAGTTCTTACAAATTTGGATCTTTAATCTGTGTTGGAAATTCTGTTTCTGGATCTAGTTTGAGGCACTAAGAAGGATAAGACATCAGTTTGCAATGAGCCCTTGCCAGGGTAACATCAATTCTGCTAAAATTGAAGCAGAACAAACACCAAATTTATGGTGAAGCTTGTATGGAAGAATGGTGAAATATTGATACTTTACAAAAAGTTTATAGGGACAATGCCCCAAACAAATCAGTAGCAGTTTGTAAATGGATAACTAGTTTTAAGAAGGGCCAAGACAGTGTTGAAGATGAAACCCACAGCAGTAGGCCATCCACATCAATTTGCAAAGAAAAAAATTAATCTTGTTCATGCCCTCACTGAAGAGCACCAACAATTAACAGCAGAAACAACAGCCAACACCATAGACATCTCAATAGGTTCATTTTACACAATTTTGACTGAAAATTAAAGTTGAGCAAACTTTCCACTCAATAGGTGTCAAAACTTTTACATCCAGATCAGAGGCAGACAAGAGCAAAGCTTTCAATGGAAATTTAAACAAGTGCAGTCAAGATCCTGAAGCATTTCTCTGAAGAATTATAACAGGAGATGGAACATGGCTTTACCAGTACAATCCTGAAAACAAAGCACAATCAAAGCAATGACTACCAAGGGATGGAAGTGGTCCAGTCAAAGCAAAAGCAGGCTAGTCAAGAATAAAGCTCATGGCAAAAGTTTTTTGGAATGCTGAAGGCATTTTGCTTCTCGACTTTCTGGAGGGCCAAAGAATGATAGCATCTGCTTATTATGAGAGTATTTTTAAAAAGTTAGTGAAAGCTTTAGCAGAAAAAATGCCTAAGAACACTTCACCAGAGAGTCAATCTTCACTTCAACAATGCTATTCAGGCCTGTCATCAAACTGGAGCACTTTTGCAAGAGTTTTTATGGGAAATCATTAGGTATTCACTTTACAAACCTGATTTTGCTCCCTCTGACTTCTGTGTTTCCTAATATTAAAATTTTGTTAAAGGGCACCCATTTTTCTTCTGTTAATATAAAAAAAGACTGCATTGACATGGTTAAACTCCCAGGACTATCAGTTCCTTAGGGATGGACTGAATGGCTGGTATCATTGCTTACAAAAATGTCTTGAATTGATGGACCTCGTGTTGAGAAATAACATTTATATAAAGAATGGGCTTATAAATCAGTGGAACAGAATTGAGAATCCAAAAATGACCTTTATATTTATGACTACTGATTTTCAACAACGGTGCCAAGACAATTCAATGGGGGAAGGATAGTCTTTTCAACACATGATGCTGGGGCAATTGGGTGTCCATCCACAAAAGGATAAATTTGAACCCTTATACCATATACAAAAATTAATTCAAAATGGGTGACAGACCTACAATTAACAGAAAAAAGTAAATCTCTCAGAAGAAAGCTTTGGAGAAAATTGTGACTTGGGATTAGTCACTGACTTCCGAGATATGACACAAAAAAGAAAAAATAAATTGGACTTCATCAACATCTAAAACTTTTACTCTTAGGCCGGGTGCTGTGGCTCAAGCCTGTAATTCCAGCATTTTGGGAGGCTGAGGCGGGTGGATCACAAGGTCAGGAGATCGAGACCATCCTGGCTAACACAGTGAAACTCCGTCTCTACTAAAAATACAAAAAATTAGCTGGGCATGGTGGCGGGCGCCTATAGTCCCAGCTACTTGGGAGGCTGAGGCAGGAGAATCGCTTGAATCCGGGAGGCAGAGGGTGCAGTGAGCCGAGATTGTGTCACTGCACTCCAGCCTGGGCAACAGAGTAAGACTCCATCTCAGAAAAAAAAAAAAAAAAATATTAAAACTTTTACTCTTCAACACATACCATCAAGAAAGTGAAAAGGCAAGATGCAGACTGAGAGAAAATATTTGCAAATCATATATCTGATAAGGGCTTGTATCCAAAGTATATAAAGACCTCTTACAACTCTACAATAATAAGAAAAATAACTCAATATTAAAATGGTTGAAGATTTGATTTGAATTGACATTTCACCAAAGAAAATACACAAATGCCCAGTAAGCACATGAGAAGATGCTCAATGTGTCATGAGGAAAATGAAAGTTAAATCTCTAATGAAATGCCACTTCACACCTACTAGGATGACCATAATTTTAAAAGACAATAACAAATGCTGGTGAGCATATGAGAAAACTGGAACCCTTATACCTGCTGGTGGCAATGTAAAATTGTTCTGCTGCCTTGAAAAAATGTTTAAACAAAGTTGCCACATGACTCAGCAATTCTACTCTTAGATATATACTTAGGAAAAATTAAAACATATGTCCTCACGAAAACTTGTACACAAGGCCGGGCTCAGTGGCTCATGCCTGTAATCCCAGCACTTTGGGAGGCCCCAGTGGGTGGATCACAAGGTCAGGAGTTCAAGACTAGCCTGGCCAACATGGAGAAACCCCACCTCTACTAAAAACACAAAAATTAGCTGGATTTAGTAGTGCATACCTGTAATCCCAGCTGTTCAGGAGGCTGGAGCAGGAGACTCACTTGAAACCAGAAGGCAGATGTTGCAGTGAGCCGAGATAGGGCCACTACATTCCAGCCTGGGTGAAAGAGTGAAACTCCATCTCAAAAAACAACAACAAAAAAAGAACCCACACAAACACAAAACTTGTACACAAATGTGCACAACAGCATTGTTCATAATGGCCAAAAATGTCCAATAACTGGTGAATGGCTAAGTAAAATATAGCATATCCATAAACAGAATATTATTCTACCATAAAAGGAATAAAGTACTGATACATACAACAACATAAATAAATCTCAAAAACATTATGCTAAGTGAAAGAAGTCAGACACAAAAGCCCACAAGTACAATTCTATGTATATGAAATTTCCAGACGAGTCAAGTCTATAGAGATGAAAAGTAGTTCAGTGGTTTCATGGGACAGGGATTAGACATGGGGACTGACTGCAAATGGACACAAGATTTATTTTGGGGGGAAATGGAAATGTTCTAAAGTTAGATTGCAATGATGGGTAGACAACTCTGTAAATTTACCAAAAATTAATGAATTTT